CTGTGAATTCAAAACAGCAACCCCAGAAGCTTTATACAGCTGCTATTGTAGTTTCTGTTCACTGGAAAACAGTTTTGGCCTTTTTGCCTTTACCGTTTTAATATGGTTCTGCCCCTCGGTGGGTGTTGACACACTGCAGTGCCGGGGCTCTCCCTTTGAGAACTCTGGAGCCCGTTCTCATCCCGTCCCTTCAATATGGCTGTTTCTAAGATGACCCCAGAGACGTCTTCCTTTTACTTTTTCACAATCAAATTTTCTTATCCCATGGCCTCACTCCCTGCCAGGACGGCTCACTCAATGGTCTAGCTGTTCTCTCCAGCCACGGCCCCACCTCACAGGTCTAGTCTCATGTTCTCTTAGCTGTATTGTTCCAGTGAACTTTGTCACCAATTCACAGATTCCACATAGCTGAAGCTTAACCCGCACTTAAAGTTACTAAGTACCAAATCAGAAAGCTCAGCCTTTTTTTTTCCAGCTCTTATATTCTACCAGCTCTGAGAGCTGTCAGCTCTAATACCTGTGTTGAAGTTTCTTACCCTGTCCTTTAATTGTACTTCCAGACTGCTTTTAGAACATAAAAACCTGTCCCTAGCAGCACGTGTGTGTGTATGTGCGTGGGTGCATAATAACAATTAATGAAAAAGAGACCATGAATTTGAAAAACAAAGCAATACAGGAGGATTTGGAGACATGGCAGAGAAGGGGAAATAGTGTAATTATAATTTCAAAAGATAAAAGATATAAATTAAAAAAAAATTAATCTAGTTACATTATATCCATGGTCCCTGCTACTGAACCCAAGCCCACATACAGCCCAAATCTACCCCTGGTCCTATGTCCTAAGCTTTCTCTCTCATCAACTTCTTTTTAACGAGTGGCATCCTGCTTTTCCCTTCACAAGCCCAGGTTTTCACTTGGCATTTTGCCACCTGCTTATATAATAGTGTCACAACTCCCCCTCACTGCTCCTCCAAGCTTCAGGACAACTATGTGATCCAGTCTGAGCCAAGAGACACAAGCAGACGTCTATGAGAATATGGAAGAGAGTTTGTTTTCCTGATGCAGGCTTTATCCTTTGTGCTAATACAAAAGCAGAGGTGGCAGAGAGACATGAATGGGCGTTCTTACATACCTAAGAGAGAGGAATAAGATCCGCAGAGACTTTCATAGCAACACCGTGGAGTTATGTAATCAACACCATCAACTGCCTTCTAGATCTCTATGATAAGAATAAGTCACACACTTCAGGTCCCACGGCCGTGTGCTTTGGTGTGGTGCATCCTTTCATGTCTCCTCCTCCGCTCACCAGTGTAACACCTCACTGTCCGACTTCTGACCTGTGTGTCCCAGGTGGCCCTTTCCCTCCAGATACACCTGTTATCCCAAGCAGAGCATCTCAACTTCTGCAGATCTCTCCATCAGGAACAGACAACCTCTTTACAGCCTGGATTCTTACGGGCTTGCCTTGGGTGATGGGCAGAACTTTCCTGTCTGTTTGCTCTCTCAGTTCTTAGTTTCTTTCACTACTGACACCCAACCGTCTATGGATGCAGAAACCTTCGGTGATGTTTTGTTGCCATGCAGGCTACATTCAACTTCCACAAAATACAGCTTTAATTAAAAAAAAAACCAGTCTGATACTTTTCAATCTTTAACATACTCTTAGCAAATGAAATGTCGCTGTTCTTTAAATGAATTCTTTTATTTTCCATGTGCATAATTTTTATAGTATTTTTCACTCCCTGGAAGGTGTAATATTTTGCTTAATTTTGATTACTTTAAAAAGAGAGGCCAAGCCAGAGCTCAAATGACCTCAACTGACCTCAACCAAAGTGGCTAGTGTTTGCTTGAGGCAGTTTCTGATGCACCCTAGGCTGGTCTTGAACTTGCTGTGTAGTCAAGGCTGCCCAGTGACACTGGAAACGGAAGGATTTTCACTTCCCCAGTTTCTCTTTGGGTAACCACGTAAGAGGTAGATATACAACCACAGTGTTCTTAGTTGGACCTCTGAGAGCCTATACTTCTTGGAGGTGGCAAAACCTAGCAAAGATGTATCAAGTCCTTACTATTCTATGACAGACCAAGTCTTCCTTCTGTGCTGTAGGGGAAAAAGGACAAACTTTATAGCCATCAAGCAAGTAAGGATCAAGCTCTGAATGGGAAGTGAGGGACGTTTTCCTTTGACTGTGATGTCTGTGATGCGATCTCAGCCAATAGGAGCTGAGGAAAAGACACTCAGAAGAAAGGGTAACTGCAAACGTCATTGAGCGGTGTGTGAGGGCGGTGTAGAGGTCTGGGAACACACAGAAAGTTGTGGCCTGAAGTTGGTGGGCAAAAAAAGAACAGGGTGAGACGAGGTGGCAAAGGGCAACCTTAAGGGTCCAAAGGAGCCAACACAGCAGCGTGCACTTAACTCCAAGGCCTTCTGCCAAGACTACCATGACCTGATTTACAAAGGAAAACGATCTCTCTGGCTGTTTGGCAGAAAATGCATCAGGGTCAAGAGTGGAAACAAGATAAATTGGGAGATTGTGTGAGATAGCAGTAGCTCGAATTTGGCGTGCGGGGTAGGGGTGAGGAGAAAGAAGTGGATCCATTCATGGTCTCCATCGCATTCAGCAGAGTGCTGTGGACACGCCAATGCTTGGTCTATGTGCCTTGATGTATGCTCAAGACTTCAAGAGCAGTGTTGCCTTTTTAGTTTCTATATGTTCTTATCCCTCCTGCTTCCATCCACACCTTGTGGCTTTCTATACTGCTTTGCTATTTGGAGAAACGGAGCCAGGAGGGATTTCATATTTCAGAAAAACACTGTGGCTACCGTCATGTAAAGCTACCCGACAAAAAATACAAATCACAGTGGAGGGTCAGCGTGGAAATTATGCAAAGAAATAAACCATTTGAAACAAATAGAACAACATAGAAATCTATATCTGTGATTAAATAAAATGGGCAAATACAGACATCTATATTATTTAAACAAAATAAAATTATAGTCATCATGAGTTAGCTACACACTATGTTGGGCTCAAAGTAAATAAGAGATTCTCCAATAAACATCAGCTGGAATACTATGCCTACACAGAAGACACGACAATCAATTTTCATTACAATTGAAGACTTCTCCAGTTTTGATTTACTTTTCTATGAGAGTAGGGGTTCTTCCTTTACTCCTTTTTATATGATATATTTCCTGATTAGTAAGCTCATCAGACTACAATGGGCTGTGTACACAATTCTAGAACTCTATAAATAACCTGTTTGATCTTCAGGTAGCGCTCTTAAGAGAAGATGAGCTAAGCTTGGGTTCCCATTGTCTTTGCATGAGCCACTTAGCACGCTGCGAGAAAACAAGACCCGTTCTTGCCATTTTCCACCCAAAACGCTAAATGGCGCCTGAATTGTGTGAAACTTGGCTCCAGCCAGTGTGAAAACTGGCTGAAGTCTGTACGAAAGGCTGTCTGGGTTTGTCAAAGTAGTTCGTGAACTTTGGCCAAACTTTCTCGGCTCCTAGTCCAAGACTCTGTTTGTAATGCAACACGAAACCACGTGGATTTCAGGTGGTGTCAGGTTTCACCTTGGAAATTTGGCCTCGCTTTCTAATCAATCATCACTTTTAGTAACGATGAAAGCCAACACACCTTTCTGGGAAAGAAGACGGAGCCTTGACTGATGACAGCTAGGCTGTGAACTGCCCCAGCACTTCCCCTGCTAAAGGAACAGTTCTCAAAATGGGGACTTTCCCTCGGACCTGGAGAGGCCAAGCGGAGGGATTCTGATAGTGGGTGTAGAAAGATGTGATACTCAATGCAGGGAGACCAGCCGCGTGAAATATCACCACCCACAGATCAAGGAGCTCTCATCTCATCATTAAAGGCTATGGGTTCCATTCCATTCCCACCCATGACAGTAGATACCGTGACGCTCAGTGATGGACCACTGATGAGGTTTTAGCATGGAGGCAGATATCAACAGGATAACTGCCATGAAAGACCGGCCTGCTGGGAGGCGTCACTGTTTCAGCTCGAAGCAGCTGAAGAATAGGAAGGAAAGCAAATCCAAGCACCTTTACCCAGCTTTAGAGAGCACGAGGTAAAATGAAGGCACAAACCATTCCCATCTGCATCAACTGTGTATTTTGAAAATAATATGCTCTGCAGTATTCATAAATTCAATAATTAACCAAACGCAGTATATTTTACAGAGACACCTCCATAGTTTCTGTTTTCAACCTGAATATTTTAAATGTATGTTTCCACTGTAAAAAAAAAAAAATTCTCTCTTCAACCAAATACTCGCTTTTGTGCGTAGTGACATGAGAAAATTGAGAGGTATGTCTGAACAGAGCCACTACATCATTGGAACAGTATGTCTGAACATTCAAGTAATGAGGCACAGATGTGAACCCAAGGACTTGGCACTACCAAGGCAACAACAAAGCATTTGCCATTGGTTATGATGGTCGAAGGGGCCACATTTGAGTGGAGAAGAAACGGCCCTCCGCCCACAGTGCTAAATTGTGTTACACCTTTTATCTGCCTTACAAATCTGGGAAAAACAAGGAATCCAGACAAGCACTATTCAAACTTACAAGGGAGAATAAATACGTAAAATGCATAATATTTTTTTATCTATGCTAGAACGCAGTTATGCAATAGCACGAGAAGTTTCATCAGAGGGAAATGCCAAATTCAAGAGAACACCACATGGCCTTTATGCTGAAAACCAATGTGTGCACATCTGAAGACCCCAACAGTCGCAGGAAAGGTGGCTGTTGATGGATCCAGGAGGCTCATTAACTGTAGAATGTTGTATTTGGAATCAAGCTATGATAATGCGCAAGATCCACATATTCATTAGTAAGATACTTCTTGCTTATGGGTGGTTTGTCGAGTTTTTCAGCTGTTACTAAATCATGCACTACACAAAGGGGAAGGATAGTTAGGGTGCTGTGAGCTGGAAAATCATTTCCCACCCCAGACAACAAGTGCATCACTTACCCGAGGCCCCTGATCGCCTTGTTCTCCCTGCAGAACAACAAAACAAGATGACAGTTTTATCTACAATCCATACATGATGCTTAATAAAAAAAAAAAAAAAGGTCTAGACACACACCATAGATCACGCCAATATTGATTTCCAGTAAATTAATTTCATTAATACATTTTCTCACCTTATCGCCTTTTGGACCAGGGGGGCCCTGGGGAGAAAAAAGTAAAAAGAAAATATTAGCTTTAAAAGAACTTGAGTAAATTTACCTGGTCAATTGAAAGATTTATGTGAAATGCAGAGAGCCGTAGTTGTCAAGAGGTTTCTCAAATTTGGTTTCTAAATTATAATTGTAATTTAATTAGAAAAAGAAAACAGTAGGTGTGTATGCAGAAAACAGTAGGTGTGTATGCATGTAATACATATACATCATATGGATCAAGTGTGCCAAAGAAGCTGTGACATGCTCAGTATACCCGAGCTACACTGGCAAGGCAGGAACGCCTGCTCTGACCTGCTTTTGCCAACAGCCTACACCAATAGCCTCTCTTGGTTCTGCTAGTAGAATCCAGCTGCCTTCATTCTGTACCTAAAGGAAACCATACAGCATGTGCCTGGACTGTTTTGTTCAAAACCTGTGAAGGTCATCTATAATTGTGTGTGTAGCCATAGACTTGTTCTTACTGCTTTATAAAATTCTATATATGACTTATTTGTCCATCCTGCTGCAGACAGTAATTTGATTCTAGGAGTTGCTAGAGTCTTGGCTATTGTAAATTGCTGCTAGGGATACCCTAATGACAGGGTTTCGGTGAGACACCAGTGTGCAGTTCTGTTGAGTGTGTATCTAAGGAAGGTTAAAGAGTACGTTCACTTTTACTTCCGGAGACACTCCCTAGTGGTTTCCTATGTTCCAGATCATCTCCAATGCTTGAAACTTTCTCCTTTTCATCTTACTTGTTCTTGTAGGGTATAATAATTTAACTTTATTTTATAGTTCCCTAGTGATAAACTGAGCACTTTTTAAATATACCTATTCAATATTTTACATTCTTCTCATAAAAAATGATCAGCTTTTGCCTTTGCTTCACTAAATTATTCTACCAATCTGTTAGAATGTATTATATATTATATGCCACATATATACATATATAAAGACTTAGAAATCTTTACATATTCTGAATTTTTTGCTATCTGTGTTTACTAGAAATATATATTTGCATGCTATGTTCTGATTTTACATTCTATTGAGATGTTCTTTGTTTAGAAGGTGGTAGTGCTGGTAACTCAGGGCCTTGAGAATCTATGCAAATGCTCCATTACTGAGCTACATCTCAAGTCCCTATTGGGGTATCTTCAATGAACAGATACTGCTAATTTTAATAAAAGTCAATATATCATTTTTTTCCCTTTATTGTAACACATGCAGTCAACTAAAGAAATCTGTAGCTATTGCACAGCCGGAGGAAGTCTGTCTGTTTATTCTACAAGCGAAAAGGTTGATTATTGCATCTTTCATATTTGAGTGTGACTTCACTGAGAACTGGTTTTACGGGAGGTGAAGTCAGGATGGTTTTCGTCCCCAGGTGGTTATCAAGTTAACTGAACACTGTTAACAGCGAATGGCATCTTTTCCCCGTTGTGGTACCGTGTTACCTTTCTCATAAATCAGGTGACCACATGTGTACATAATGTTTTCTCGGAGGAATTTCTTCTTGGTGAGAGCCTGCCTATTCTTCTAGTAAGAAATACTCTTTCTAGAGGCATCAATTATGCTGTCTATTCTAATTCTTGATAATGAAGTCATGTTTTGTGGTTTAACACAGCCCAAGGAATTAGAATGTCTGTCTCATAATTATCTCTACTAACTCCATTTATAGTGGGGCCAGAACATGAACAAGCCTGGACAGGAAATAGGCTAGGGGTCTATCTATAGTGATATTTCATTTGTATTTTAACAAATAAGGCTTGCCTGAAGATCAGAGTGTAAAACAGCCCCACTGATCAGCCTTACAGACCAGGCTAGTAGTGACACACACCATTAATCCCAGTAACCACACTAATTGCCATAGAAATCAGGCGATAGTGGTGCAGGCCTTTAATCCCAGGATGAGAGAAGAATATAAGATGGGAGGAGACGGCTCCCAGACACAGTCTCATTCTGAGATTCCTGGAGGCAGGATCGCCATTTTCAGACTGAGGTAGAGGAAAGAGCCAGTGGTTGGCTGTTTTGCTCTTTTGGTCTTCAGGTTGAACCCCAATCTCTCTCTCTGAGTCTTTGTTAGTCATGCTACATCTATCAGAAGGGGCTCTATCACTACTGGTAGGAACACAGGACTCCTGCTCCAACAAAAATGTCACCTTCTAATAAGTGTCAGCCACAGAGGGATGGCACTGAAGCCCTGCTTTCTTCACTGTTATCTTTGTGTTCCGCTTTGCATTCCCGCATCACAAAGAGATCTGTCTGCTTATTCTAAAGCAACAGCTTTATCATTGTCTGTTTCATATTTGCATTCCAATTCACTGGAACTGATTTTCTATACCATGTGGCTATCTGGGTTGCGTAGGTAACACGCCTTTCTCGTGAGATCTGTGAGGTTATCCTGAAAGCGACAGCAACAGAATCGTAGCTCGTATTTTGCATATTTTCTCATCAACAAGGAACTGTGAGTTGTTGTTACATTTAATCTCCCCCCCCCAATGCAATGAAGAATTATGATAATCCTTTTAGAGAGGCCAAAAATGCAACTCAGATCTTTCCTATGTGGGGCCTCTTCGAAATGAGCTGTCCAGGATTTTAATTCATTCTGCATGACTTTAAATACCAAGACCATGGAACAGAGACATGGAACTTGATTCTCAGAATTGCCCATTTGTCTGGTGCCTGCTCTCAGCATGCGATTTCTGAAATGGCCCCCACTGCACATCCCACGGCCACAAACACCAGCCCTAAGGTTGTAGGTTCTAAATGAGGAAAAAAGACGATAAAAGGCAGAGAAAGTTGCAGGAGAGAGGGCTCAGATAATGCAATTACCTTCATAAAATCCATTTCTCTTTATCCTCCAGATAAGTTTTTCAATGATTATGGGGAAGCTAGGAGAATTATATTTTAGCATTTTTCATGAATGTTTAACATACCTATTGATATTTTCAGTAAATAAAGCCGTGAGGAAATGAGAAACACCAAAGCTAAGGATATTTATATATATTGAAAACACACAGATACTAATGTTGTAAAGGTTGAGTATTTGTTTTGTAGAGCTAAGGGAAAGAGGAACCAGTGGAACTCACTACCAAAGTTGAAGCGAGGCAGTGGTGAATCCAGCTTTTATTAAAGTAGCATTTTAACAAGCTAGATTTTGAACATGCATTTGTTGAAAGTCTATTTAAAGTTTATCACTGTTCTAAGACATGGTTAAAGGATATGGTAGAAGAGGCCAATCTAGGAAAATGTGGTGTCTACCTCCAACAAAGCTAAATAGTATCTTTCTTTTTCTTTCTTCCTCTCTGTCTCTTTCTTTCCTTCCTTCCTTCCTTCCTTTCTTCCTTTCTTCCTATTCCTTTTTCTCTTTCTTTTCAGTGCTGAGGACCGAACCCAGGGCCTTGTGATTGCTAGAAAAATGCTTGACCACTGACCTGACCCAAATCCCCGTCCCCTAAGGTAGTGTATTTCTGACTTCATTAAGGTTAAGTAACAATGACTTCTAGAAACCCAGAGACCTTCAAATCAGCTCTTACTGTGGACCCTTCCCCAGCCTCTCCCCTCGCCTCTCACAGGTTCCCCTCTTCACAGTTTTGTCTGACTCCCTAGTGAGATCTCAGAGGCTGGCCCCTCTAAAGGCACACCATTTGGTTATGTGTGGCATAAGTGATGCTGAAGCTTGTTTAAAATGCCCCCACAATGAATGGGGAGCAAAAATGAATCTTCTAGAAAACCAATGGTCATTGTCAAATCCACATGTATTGACTAGAGCCAGAGTGCCCCGTGTAGGATGCCCAATCCATGGCTTCATCAAAAACCTGAGCAGCAAATTCTGCGGTTCCCCAGCCATGTTTCTGAGCAGAGAGCATGGTGCCCTGCACCTGCCAAGCTCAAGACAGCAACAAAGCCAAGGTCACCCTCTACACACAGCTGTGATGGCTAGTCAGGACACGCCCCCTCCTGTGCTCAGGGGTGACAGAGGATGCTTTCTTCTACTAGGACTGAAATCCTGTTCTTTCTGAGTTGGGCCTCTTCACTGAGAAGATGGGCTCAATCTGATGAACCAGGAGGGCTATGACAGAGAGCCATGTTTATAACTTCAGGAGCCAGACTGCTTTTCCAAGTCAAAATACCACAGCACAAGGAGTTTCTCTGATATTTAACCTTTACAGTTCATTTTGGGACATGGACTCATTTTTGTCTGATCTCTAAAACTGGTTTTTAAAACCCTTATTAGCACTAACTAAAAGACAAGCAGCAATACAAGTTAATGGCTCTAATCATTTCATTTATGAAGATTTGTTAAAAGAATTTGTATTTTATGTGTATGAGTGTTTTCCTGCATGTATGTATACATACCATGTATGCTTGGTGTTCACATTATGGACAGTTATGATCAGCCGTGTGGGTGCGAGAAACTGAGCCTGGATCCTTTGCAAGAGCAGACAATGAGCTTAACCACTGAGCTATATCTCTTTAGCCCTAACTTGAGAGTCTTTGTAAACAGCATTTTGCTGTTCCAATTATACTACCCTTAACAAAATATAGTACACACTATCAATGATTATAAGGTAATTAATCCAAAGTCACATTTGCTGCTAAAACAAAGCTAAGGTCAATGTAAAAGAAACGTGTGGACTGGCTGTGGGTCACAGCTTTGGGTAAGGCTTTTGGGGACAGGTCTGTAACCTGTCTGGAATGTTGCATACGTCCCACTCATAAAGAGAACTATCATTTCTAAATAGCTTTGCATAATCAGGCTCAGTGACAGAAATACTGAAAGATTCTAATAAAGATTATGTCTGTCATTACAGTCAGGTGGGAACACTCTTCAGTATGTTGGTTCTCGGCCTTCCTACTGCTGCGACCCTTTAATACAGTTCCTCATGCTGTGTGACCCCAACCATAAAATTATTTCATTGTTACATGATAGCTGTAATTTTGCTATGCATAGGAATGTAAATAGCTGGCATGCGGGATATCTGACATGTGACCCCCACAGGGGTTGC